TTTCTCGACTGCAAATAAAATAGATGATGATGTTACACCACTAACTGAATTTCCACCATTTACCTTTAGTCATTATTACAGAGCAAGATGTCAAAGATCAACTCCATTTAATAAATACCAATAAATCAGCAGGTCCAGATAATATTTCCCCCTACTTTCTGGGAATATCTGAATCTTTAGTTTAATTAATATTATGTAATAAATCAACAGTCAAGTTGTCTCCCTTACACCTGGAAATGTGCTAATGTTGTCCCTATATATAAAGGTAAAGGTCAAAAGTGAGATATATATTATCAAAAAATCAATCAGGTTTCTTACCTAAAGACTAATCAACTTATGTCACAGTATAATACTATAGTAAGTCAGCTGGATGGAGGAAATGAAAAAAAAGCAAGTTTTTTGTGACATAAGTAAGGCATTTGACAGGGTGTGGCATTGAGGATTAATACACAAATTGTCGAAATAAGGAATTAAGAATAATATGTTGTGGTGGTTCAAAACTTATATTAGAGATAGAAAACAAAGAGTAATATAAGATGGTTTCCATTCTACTTGGCAAATGTTGAAAGCTGGGGTACCTCAGGGCTCGGTCCTAGGACCATACTTATATCTTTTGTACATTAATGATCTGGAAAATGAGATAGGATGTAATATAAAATTATTTGCTAATGCTACTTCATTATACAAAATAATAGACAATAGTCATCAGCAAGCAGCAAACAGTCGGAATGAAGATCTACGCAAAATATCAAAATGGGCAAATGATTGGGGTATACTTTTCAACCCAGACAAAACTGATTCTTTAATAGTATCTAAGAAAAATACTGCAGTTAACCTACATTTTGTACATCCACACCTAGTATTCAATAATATCCAGGTAAGTAATATTATGAACCACAAACATCTAGAGATTTATTGAAATGAACAAGGTAACTGGACATATCATATAAACTTTATTTTTGAAAAGGCATCTAAAGGAGTAAATGTCCTAGGAATGTTACAATATAAAATTTGTAGAAAGGCACTTGAAATAATGTATACTACACTTATCAGACCTATTCTAGAGTATGCTTGTGTTATATGGGATAACTGTACAAGACAAGAAAAGATCTCTTGGAACCTATCCAGCTTGATGTTATTAGGATAATTACTGGTCTAAAAAAGGGCACTAGCCATTCTATATTATATAAAGAAATGGGATGAGAAAGTTTACAGAATAGGAGGGATAAACATAAACAAATCTTTTTCTTTAAAATAACAAACGAAATAACTCCAAATTATCTTCATGAAATTATTCAACAATATATATTAAACCCGAAGGAAAATACACACAATCTTAGGCACTCAAGAATTTTCAATGTGCCTCTTCCTAGAACCATGCTGTATGCTAATAGCTTTTTCCCCAGTATGATGAACATATGGAACAGTGCCAATAATAACTTTACTAATACTACTAATATTATTACTTTTAAAAGGGAAAAACAAAAGGTAATTATAGGGTACACAGACAAAAATTATGTACACATGTATTTAAATACTCTAGTTCACGAAAAGTAAACGTGATTTTTACGGACATTGCAAAAGTCTTCGAACCACAGCACAATTCGCATAAACGTAAGTGAATGGGTTTTTTTACCTTGTTAGAATATATACTACTTTAAGCATTGCTTTTCTTAACTTTGTTCTTTCTTTTTATCTCATACAACTTTTCAATGTTCCTTTTCAGATACGTTTTTACTTAAAACGGATAAAGAAATATTGTGAATAATCTTTAACAATATACATACACAATGTATATAACTTGGAAGGCACTGTAGTCTAGTGCTAGGACGTCGGGCTCGTGACCGAAGTGTTGCGGGTTCGCGTCAAGGCACGACACTGTGTTGTATCCTTAATCAAGATACTTTACTCCGCTTGTCTACTCAGCTTTAAATGAGTACGTGGTTGGGCAGTGCTAGAATTGTTGAATGCTAGTTGTGAGCGCAAAAATGGCAGCACCGGCTGTATGCTCCCCAGGGAGTTGAGAAAGATATTGGCTGGTTGCAAAGGCCCTATAACCACGGATAATAATTTATGAACCGCTTTGAGACGACCTACGAACTAGGTTGTGATAAGCTGTATATAAAAACCTTGAATTATTATCATTTTTATTATATAAATTGATTAAACCCAGTAAATGTGTCATGTTAATTGTTAATCCGTACACATGAACAATTTGATAAACATATTTCTGTTGATTGAATATATTACATTATTTTAACATTTTATTTATTGAAATTGCTAAAAGGTGTTTTATCAACCCTATGAGTTAATAAAGTGTTTATTACTGTAGATATATCTTACATAACTCATCAGAATTGATAACAACAGGTCAAATCATCAGATAAAGGATTTAATTATTAGAAACTCTTATTGACAAGAGGTCAATATCGTGATACTGTATCGAAATTCTTAGCATTATGGATATAATAGTAAAGAGCACACTTAACCCCAACTTCGCGAGCCAAGGGTGTTCAATACGATACTCTTCTATTCTATTCTTCGATACTCAAAAAGAGCTTCCGGTGGCCGGAACGGAAGGACGCAAGCTAAAAATGGTGTGAGAACTTAATCGATTGATCATGCTTGTGTGGATATTATCCGTTAATAATCACCTTTATATGTCAACATATTGACAAGTTATGATTTCCTTCAAGTTGAGAACATGAATTCATCTCAAAACATCGATAATGAAGGTAATTGACTATTCTTGACCACTCTCCTTTGTTGACCATAGGCCGCCATCTTGAAATTTTTACTCAACTCTATTGAACAATTTTATTTAACAAATATGGATGTTACTGCAGCCTCAAGTTTGTCACCTCAACTTATGGACAGTGTTAAACTAATCCAAGGTATCACCGACCCCTCNACAATATTCGAGACGTAATTGTCTAAAGCTCAGAGGCATCCCTGAACACGACAACGAGGGTAGTTCTGAGAACACTGACCAAATCATTTTAAACCTGTGTAATGAAACACTAGGAGTAATGGTTACTCAAGGGGACATCAGTAGATCCCATCGGGTTGGACCCAAGTCCCCATCCCGCCCCCGTGACATTATTGTAAGATTTATTTCTTATAACATCCGAGCCCAGGTGTACGGTGCGAGATTCTCTCTGTTTTCACCCTATGTGAACGAAGCATCCAATGCCAGTCAAAAGTCATCACCAGAGGCACATACGCCTCCGCCATTTTACATCAACGAGGCCCTCACCAAACAGCGAGCCTCAGTTTTCACTAAGGCCAGTTTTATGAAGTCATCCGGCTGTATAAGCGGAACTTGGACCCAGGATGGACGTATAGTATTGCGCCACAAGGACGGAACGCGCACACAGGTTACATCACTACGGGAGATTGCATCCTATCCAGACCCTCCCCCTCCCATCCGGCGTAGTCGTCCCAGGACGCTAGATGATCGTGACCGTGGCACTAAACATCAACTCGTTGCTCCTTCAAAGATCTCGTTTGCTCAAGTGACACGTGGATCAAAGTCCTCCCTTGGACTTGTCACATCAACTCCCAACAAAGGCCGGGGTATTTCAACATCCAACACGTTCTCCCCCCTTGTTAAGGAGTCAAACTCTACCCAGAAATCTTGTGGATCATCTACTTAGTTCATAGACCAGGACCATTCCAAATTGCCTACTACTTATGGTCAACTTTCATTCCACTAGGAATAATTTGTTTATTATGGCTTAGTGACAATTATGTTCTCAAATCAAATTTAAATAAAGTTCTACTGATTTATTGATTGATTGTGTGTGTAACTCTCACAACCCGTTATTCAATTAATTTAGCTACGAATGTAATGTCAAGCATGTATCCGGGTATATAATTTATAATGTAACCTAACTTAAAGCATTATCTTATAATCTCTCAAATAAATTCCAAATAATGAATTATGGAATTCAGCACTACCCCTAAGAATTTATCTCAGTTAAAAATAATTTTATATCACGGACTTAGATATCCGTGGTTATATATATTGTTCAGAAGTGAACATGTGTGTACTGTTGTATGTCAATATATTCAATATTTTATTATAACAACATTACATGTTGAACAGAACTGTGTGTATATTATGTGCGTAGTATGTGTGTGTGCTCAGCTGAAAGTCCTGTAGTAAACAAGCAAATGCAATATGCTTTCAGATGTTCCCATCCTAATTCTAAGTACCCATGTATATATCTGCATATATATTTATTTGTATGAAGGAGTACATCATTGCGCAAAACGCTTCTTCAAATCAGTCACTATCTGTGAAATGTCTGTGAAATAACACCAACGTTAAATATGTGAATATAAATATCTAATTGTTAATTATGCAATTTACGGGTACCTCTTGGCAGAGACGTATACGTTTGTGTGTATGGATCTACATGCATTTTTATGGCTTTTGTGAGGGACACAGGGACACACGTTTGTTTGTGTATGATCGTTCTCTACAGTGATCATAGTATCTATTTATAGAATTGTCACTAAATCTGTATATATAAATATTGTTTTGAGTTTATGAAACCCTTACTCCTCCATTATAAATACATTATTATACGTACTTCCAGTAGTCTATGTATCAACACGAAGAAACCAATTAATGACTCCATTACGGATATCCTGTCATGATGAGTGTATCATTCCCTTGCATACAGTATTATAAGCATATACACAGTAATATCACTCTATTTACATGTAGTAACCTGATATCAGTGTAACTCATGACATCGTAATAACCTATTGCGTCAGGTCAAAGTCGTGACATACCTTGACTGTGATGGTTAAACAATGACGTTTTTATATTCCCAAAATAAAAATAACACTCTCCTATCTGTGTTTACATACGTTAAAAACCCTACACGTGTCATGGGCTTACTTTTTATTGGTAATCTTTTCTGCCTAATATGTGTGTTACTATAAATAGTAACAGTTTATTTATATCGCCTAATCCTCTCTATTGCAAGCATGCTTTGAATCTGGATCTTGGTCTCCTTTGTGCTTGCTCAAACCCCATTTTTCAGCATCTGTGTCAAAAGGAGATGCTACGTTGATCATGACAGGAACCACACAAACGATGATCTGATGATCTTGTTTTGAGGTGAGTTAAACCTTGCCGGTATGACACTGGCATTTTTGTTGTTTTTTGTATATATGTTAACCTACTTCTTTCTTACATATAGATGCAAAATTTCTTTTATATTAGAACTATATGCCTCATATCATGTACATGATATTATCTGTTTGACAGAGACACATCTCAATCAGGAAATACATAGTACAGTTGTTACGGCAGTAGCGGATCACTTTGCATATAATTGCTACACAGGATTTTTGCAAAACTTTTTTATAAAGACATCATATATTTTCAGAAAGTACATTTAATTACCTCTCCAGTGATACCAAAAGATCTTCATAAAATCAAATATACACAACGAAATAAGGAAAACAAGACCTACCGATTTGTCGGCTATAGCGGGTCAGTACGGCTATACCGGATCACGCCCTTTGGCGGGCCTCTCACTCACGATTCAAGTTAGATGGGACGTCTCAAAACACATTTTTCAGAGGCATCTTATTATTAATTGAAGCCTTTGCAACGAATACACTTTAAATATAACTCCAATACATGTGCAAACTCTCCAAACATATGTAGAAATTTGAAATCGTGAATGCACGTGGAACGATGCTATGCGAATGCATACGCGTGTTCAGCTGAACACTGATCCGTTATAGCCGAAAAATCACACATCGGATAAGACACAATAACGCATGTAAGCATTATCCAAGATTACCAAACAATACAAGATTCTGAAACAAAACAATATAATTCACCATTTAAATGCATATTTATTTGGTTGTAAGTGTGTATTTTAATAGAATCTATTTCTTCATCGAACCGTCCGTTTTCCAAGATGGCGGTCATCGCTATAGGAGCAGATTGAGAAAATATAAAATTCGGGATTTCTGGACATGATACGTGTATGAAGATATTTTTTTTTAGATTGTAAGAAACAACTTGTTACCATGTGCAAACAATTAATTTCTTTCTAGGATCAATACATTTTGTGTAATCAGCTTTTGTTTATTGACTGATCCGCTACTGCCGTAACAACTGTAATGACATTATGATTGATTCACATCCTGGTGAAACACATCGGAGGGATAGATTAACAGGATTTGGAGGGGGCATTTTAATATATTATAAAGATACAGTTTTAACCAAAAGGAGACATGATTTAGAGAATGATGACATTGAAATATTATGGATCGAAGTTTGTGCAGGGAATCATAAATTATTACTTGGGTGTATATATAGCGATTTCCGCCGTGATGTCACAAAGTCACGTGACTTCCGACTGGTTGGCAAGACAATCGGGAACCGTCGGCAAGAATGTTGTTTACATAGGCCTATGTCAGATCGATCATAACATGTTTTCCGTTTAATTACGATGGTTGTGTCCTGTTGTGTTATCAACTGCACTACAAGATTTGATAATAATAACCCAAAAAGCTTTTATCGTGTACCAAAAAAACCTGACATACGCAGACAACTTTGGATTACAGCTATTAAGCGTTAAGGCCCAGAAGGGAAGCCATGGGTGCCTGCAGATCATGATAGAGTGTGTTACCGACATTTCATTACTGGTAAGATATTTTTCTTTATACATTTATATAAAGATTTATTGATATGTCAATTGTCCTGAAGTAAATTAATACCTACCACCACCAACAGAGCCAACAGAAGGTAATTTATTGTTTC